TAGTAGTAGTAGTAGTAGTAGTAGTAGTAGTAGTAGTAGTAGTAGTAGTAGTAGTATTGTTATGTAGTTCTAAAACATTTTGTACGTGAAATTTTAAGTATTGCAGTTTTAAAGGCAGCCACTAGAGGGAGACACGAGATTCTAGAAAAAGCTGTGTTTCCGTCTCATGGAAGATTTGAAAAAACAAACAAACAAACAAACAAACAAAAAAACATATGTCTGATCTACATTTCAATATTTGAGTTTCCCTGACATTTAGGAGGGCTATATATTTCAGGAGGCGCCTATGAATGGAGTAAAAATCACTCAAGATCAATTATAAAATAAGTTTATACAATCAGAACAAGCTGATGCTGTTGAACAGTGACCCACCCCCTAATCTTTAATAAGCGCATTTAAAGTTATTTGTAAGTTAATTGGATGTAGATGTAACACAAAGACGGATATGAAAATCCGCCCATGAGCGAAAAGACGATTTGTTGTTCCAAGTTTCTGGAACTGTCGTCACCTTTTGAGCCGTCATCATTCACCCGGATTCTTCTTACGTCCGACTGACGCCAGAACTTCCATGCTGCATTTGAGGGAACTCGGTAAACAAATTGGTTTAGCAAACAAGTGTTCTACAAACAATTGTAGTTAGTTAAGTTGTATTTTTTCCAATTATATTTAACTGTGTAAAATGATAACTTTTTTTATCAATCATCCTGAATAAAAAATGCCATTTCTGATTTTATTTAAATACAATAATGTGAAAAATTCAATCATTTGTCAACATTTAGTTGTTAAACTCAGACGTATCAAATGCACCGAAAGGTGTCTTATATTAGTCAGCTTTAACTGCAGATATTAGTGTTCTCTACAAATACACACTGTAGTCCTTGCGAAATTACAGTGGTTCGCTAATTAACAGTGAACTCGCTGACATTTCCAACAGTCCGCGAACGGCTCAAGAACTCGAAGGATTTCAGTTTGGCAGGCCGTTGTAACATATAATCAAACCACACCTCTGGCGCCGTGTAGATTAGAATCTCGGCTCTAATTACTRCTTTAGACATCGACAACCGTTTTGCATTCATTTTCTGCCAATTATCTGTGGTCAAGCTGCAGAAGCAAACGATCCAGGACAAGGAGCAAGACCCAGACATTTGTATCCCCAGCGACTCTCTTATCAGGCGAGGAGATGCATAATCCCTCCCTCCAGTGACTTCTAGGTAGGCCTATGTCCAGGGATCTCTTCAGTGCACGCCTAGGGAAAAAATAAAATAAAAAAATAAAAACTCTAAAGAGAGGGGGATGCTAGCTGCACACTCTAATTTATCAGAATCCTGACATTAATCTTTAAATTCTAAAGTCAGAATTATGACTTCTTTCTCAGACTTTTTAAATTCAAAAATACTTTATTGATCCCAGAGGGAAATTAGGTGTTGCTGTAACTCATTTAACTAAAAACTTATTGTAGATGCTGATGGCTGTGGGCAGGAAATATCTTCTGTTTTACAGCGCAATTGAAGAAGCCTCCGACTGAAGACACTTTGTCTTTCTATGACAGTCTGATGAAGAGGATGGTCAGGGTTGTCCACAATGTTCTTGATTTTATGTAAAATCCTTCTTTGCACCATCATCTCCAGAGATTCCACAGTCGTCCCCAGAACAGAACCAGACTTCTTTATCAGGTTGATTAGCCTTTTTAGGTCCCTGGCTCTGATGCTACCCCAACAGATGACGGCAGACGAGATGCAGACATTGAAGGATCTCAGCTTCCTTGCTGTGTCCTTTCTTGTAGACTGCTTCACTGTTGAGTCTCCAGTCCAGTCTGTTGTGCAGATGAACACCGAGATATTTACATTCCTCAACCACCTCCACTTCTTCTCTCATGATGGAAACAGGGTTTTATCAGTTATGCATTTTAAAAGCACACTGTGAGTACTGAACAGTAAAATATTGGTACCATGTGTTGTATAGGCATGTGTACCCATGAATCTATCTAGACACAATGCATCGCAAAAAAGCTGTCTTTGAGCATGCACATTAGCAACCGTAACAGATCATGGGATTGAGATTATTGGAACTCTCTGTGCATTGTTGCCCAAATCAAAATCTGGAAGTGGTCATTCAACTAGATCTGTTACAAAAGGACAACTGATATTACCAACTTTTAAAAACTGTTACGGCCAGAGGTCTTTRWTCTATGTTTATACTAAAGCATGGAATGACATTCCTCAAAACATAAAGTCCATTTCAAAACTACAGCCCTTTAAGAAGAATCTTGTCTGCCATCTGCTGGACACTTTTTGTTTTGCTCATATTTAGACATCCTATTTTGCAAATGCTGCCTTTTTGAAATTTGGTATGCTTCTTTGTTTTTGTGTCTATGGTGTATAATGATGTGATCGTGATGCTGTAATTCTGAGTGTTTTATGTGCTGCAGAACAGGAACCTGCTGTAAAACAGCAATTATGCTGAGTCAGGCTTGATTTTTAATAATCTTTTCCTGTTAAATCAATAAATAAATCAAATCAAATCAATCATTTTGTCTTTGCCGCACATTACACTAGTCCAGTGTTTCCCAAAGTTCGGGTTGGGACCCAAAGTGGGTCCCGAAACATCAAGGTGGGGTCCTGAAAAGATTTTCTGAATTAATTACATTTTTGCCTTAGTTGTTACAAATGAGTGAGGTTAGTGTATTTAAAATGGATAAATGTAGTATAAAAATATTGTTACTATGCCCATGTTTTGATGACCTGATACAAATGCTTATCATTGAAAAATAGTTGGGGGCACGGTCTCTGCTACTGTTATTTTGTGGGTCAAAAGCTGAAAAGTTTGGGAACCACTGCACTTTGGTTCCCAAAGTTGGGCTTGGGACCCAATTATGGGTCATGAAGCACCTTGGATAATCTCCAGAAAACAATTTAAAGAGTAATAAAATAATTGCTGATGTAATATTTGACCCATAATTATTACAAAAACACAAAATAAGTATAAATAATTATTTATGTTTGTGTACAAGCTGTTTAGATTGTCAAAAATCCTGTGTTTTTAGGGTTATTAACAAAGTTTGTGTACTCAGATCAGTAATATTTGCGGTCACAAGTTTTTGCCATGAATATTTTGTGGGTCAGAAGATAAAAAGTTTGGGAACCACTGCACTAGTCTGACTACATATTAAATGATAATTCCGCCTGCCATAAAAGTAGGCTCCTCCCAGCCAATAGAGGCCGACCTCCAACAAGAATTGAAGATGCCACATTGAAGAGAGGAACAAAAAGGCGACCTGACAGCGGTATCTGCACTTCCTCCACTTTCTCCGGGGTTGTCACGGGATTTCAATGTTCAGCCTGCTCTTTGTAAGTACTTAAAAGGCAAATTGACTTGGTGGTTTTTGGTATGACGGTTTGCAGTTACAGCTTCCTGCGTTTTTAAATGTAAAACTTGGGTCTCCAGGATCAGGTTATGAAATCATCTCTCGCAGTCCAAGTTCCACGATGACGGGTTTGTCTGAGAAGGCGAGCCCGACTGTGTAGCCTAGCTTGCAAGAATCACGCTCGGACGACAAAACAGTCATTTTAAGCCAGTGTTAACAGTCAGAAATAATTTGTTCGCTTCTTTATTCAGTCGGTATTAGCTATTCGCTTGGTCGACTCTTAATTTATCGAGAATTGACGTATCCCGGTTGGCTAATACGCATTGCTAATGCAAAGCGCCAACCTACTTGCTAAAGTAGCGGCGCTAGCTTGCCACTCGTGGCTATCACGATTTCCTTACAGATAATGAACAACCTCTAAGTTCTGTTATAAAATCAAAATACACAGGACACTGTGTTAGCTCTGAAACTGTCAAAACCACAGACATTTTACGGTAGCATGTTTTCAATAACATCATAGCTTTTTGGGTACTAATGCGTGGCTTATCGTTTTATTAGCGTCTTTAGCAACATTTCCCCGCAGCGGTACCGCCATGTGGAAGTCTTAAGATTGCTGTCAGCTTTTGTGCTGGTCAGTATTTTCAGCTTGTTTTGAGAATTTAGTGTCTAAATTTGTGTATGTSTGCAGTTCTTGTTTTGTTCCGTTTTTATTTTGTTCCTTTTGCTTGACGTAAAGACTTAAAAGTAGCCAGATGGTGACCGAGCTACATCATGTCTTCCGCCCTTGGTGACAAATATTGACCCACGTCCTGGCCAGTGTTTTAACTAGAATAAAACGTCAACTTTTGCATCCCCTTGCCTGACTTGTTTTTTTTTTTGTGACCAGTGCTCATCTATTTCTATTTTTCGCCACTTTTACGTAACGTAAAGTGTCTCGTTTGAGACTTTTAATTTGCCCATGTAGAAATGAAGCTAACATAGCGGTTTGCTGGGTCTGTAATTTATCCTTTTTTTCTGCTGCTTTATTTTCTCTCCCCTTTATAAATGGAAAGCACCCCATCATTTAGCCATGCAGGCTTGAATTGAAATGAGGAAATGCACTCAGGGAGGAAGTTAGACTTGAGCAGCTGTGACACTAAAGGCCGCAGCACATTCCCATGCCTCTCAGTTTTCGATTTATGACCTTACAATGATTTCGGTTTCCGTGCTGGTTGTAAATCGGACACTTAATACAAAGGAGTAGCCTCTTTAATATCCCTCCCACCATTGGGCGGGGGACTCCATGAGTAACTGGTGTAACAGGTAAGCTAATTATACATCCCTTCTTATGAGTCATTGGAGGGCTATCCGCTTAGATAAGGTGAGGAGTACCATAGCTCCTACGGAAGGTCATCGTTTTACACATTACCTTTATAACTGTTTCAATTTTAAATACATGATTCATATGTGCATGCCAAAATAAGAGGATTTATTTTTTTATTGAGTCATTTTCAAATTCTCCAAAGTGAAAGTGATACAGAGTTTGTTGCAATTTTTGCACCTGTCGCTTAGACATAGTCCGCCCTGGTCTATGTCTGTATACATCTACATGCTTTAGGGATGTGGATAAGTTTTTAAATCCTACACCAATATTAAATCTGACAGCGGATTCCAAAAGAACATTTCAAACCAAACAAAATAACACCAAAATCATGCTGATTATCTGAAGTATGAGGGAAGTTATTGGTGTTTGTTTAGGTGAAATCAGCTCATGTTTTCTTGCTGCAGTTCACAGCAGAACCCATTTCACCTTGTTCTTGTCTATTTTTGCTCATAACTTCCTCAGTGTTCAAGATATCACCATGAAATTTTAGGAAAAGATTCACATTCTGGTTTTTTTAGGAAGCATCTCGTATCCTAAAAAACCTAATAAAACTTAATAATAGCCAATTCAAATGTAGCAGAAAAGTATAATATAATATTACAAGGCAAATTGCAGCATCAAATCAACTTAATGTGTCTTAGAAAGTAAGGAAATTAAAACAATTTAAAAACCATGTGGACATCTGTTTTGTAAAGAAAGCTCCTCAACCAATGACAGCTTGTTAAATGTGTCGTGACGAAGACGAGCGTCAACACACTTTGCAACAAGCGCTATTCCGGATTAGGGCTGCCACAAACGATTATTTTAATAATCGATTAATCACAGATTATTTATTCGATTAGTCGACTAATCGGATCATACGTTAATTGAATATAAAACATACAGCTTATCACGTCAGAATGCGGCTGCTATTATATAACCATCGTTAGATTTTAGCTATATGCTAACTAAAAGTAATTGCTGTGGAAGGCAAGTTCTGCTCTGCAGATATTGCACAGGTTTCTTTCATTTGCTTAAAATGATCCCACACTTTTGAGCTCCGTTGCTGGGTAGACATGATACCAGAGCCTGTCTGTATAATGTCTTGTGACGTCCACGACCTACCCCAGTTACCACTACTGTGCATGTGTGTCAAGGACAGAAAGGCAGARGTGGCAGTGGAAGGTGTCAAAGCAGTTTGGAGAGAAAAACAAAGTAAAGAACAACAAAAAAAGGAAAACGATTAATCGATTATTAAATTAGTCATCGATTATTTTAATAATCGATTAGTCGTCGATTAATCGTGACAGCCCTATTCCGGATTTAAAAAAAAACATACTTCGATGTTTCAAATCATTATCAAATTTGGAGCAAAGGCAGATAAAACAATGTTCTTCATGGCAGCTTATCTATTTAATGGGTCACTAGAAAAACTCAGGTGATTTACTTTGATCCTCTTCAAAGAATTGTCTCTTCAAAACGCACCGACAAAAATTAAAAACTCCAAGACGAGGCTGTAGCTAACTACCTGACCTCAGTACGCTTTGTTGAAATTCGTAGAAATAACGAAGCAGGAGGAAATTACAAGCAAACGCATCGAGCAGCCTTGCAAAATCTGGTCACAGCAGTTTGGGAAGAAAATGGCAGCAGCTGCCTACATGCTAGAAGATCACGTCGCACTAGCACGATGCAACCACCACAGGTGTCACAAAGTAAGTCTTTGGTTTGGGCGGCCCGGTCCACTTCCAGCTCTGATTTTGGAACCCAGAGACCCGGCGTTCCATGTGGGCTGACTTGTGCCAAAGATTTGACATCAGCAGACTACAGGTCTGGCTCTCAATCCCACCCACATGCAAAGTCAACAAGACTGTGCTGAGCTGGGAAAGACCTGGGCCAGGCCTTACGATGCAAGCGAGCCAGAAGTTGCTTCCATAACCACGTCACAATCACACTCTTAGTTTAGTTTTTGCTTCAAATTGTCAACAACCAAATCCAGTTTGGTGCATGCTGACCACATCATAGAAACGCTGCTGCCGTGCTCAAACCAAGACTCAAACGTACTGCCACCACAGTGGCACACCACCACTTCATTACAACAATTTTGTGTATGCTAAAAAAAAATCAGACACATCACGTTTAATGGGGAGCTTCCTGTAGTCCACGCTTTCTCGAAGCTTTTGCAAAGACTGTTCAAAAGTCATCATTGCCCTTTTTTTTGTACCAGGGTTGTCATCCTGTGTAAAAATGACAGCCATTCATAAGACCTAGCTYCAAGACTTGACAGACTAAAGGGCAAAAATAAGTCACAAATCTTTATTGTAACATCCATAACAGACCACTTATTAAAACAAAACCATTTATCGCTTTGATGAACCATTTTTTTGTCTTGAAACTGGTTCCTCTGGGGACATTGGCTAGCTTAACTTATCAAGCAGGTGTCCCTGTTTAAGCTTTAATGTTCTTGTCCCAGTTGTTACATTTCAGCTCCACTGATTGTGTACCACATCTTACAAATACAAACAAAAAAAAAGGTCTCTTTAAGACTGATTGCATTAGCTAGGTACAAATTTAAACGGCTCAGCCGTGCTAAGAATAATTTAGTTTGTGAGGGTATAATTATAGTTGGCCTAAATCAAACAAGCTGGTTGCATTTTTGTTTTACAGTAACACAAGGGTTGTTTACTGCTTGTGTAAAAATACACTGTGACCAAGGGAAGTTCTCAGCCTTGGTTACCGTAACTGTGAAAGGCGAACCCCATGTGCTGTAACATGATGCCAACTTATCAAGTAGGGTTACTGGGGGAGAAGAACACCTATGTTGTTGTGTGCTGGCCTTCAGCCCATCTAGCCACAGGGGTTCCTGTGAGTGCTAGCAGAGGCCCGCTTTGAGATGAGTGGCCAATCTAAAATCTAGTTATTGCCCTGGGAGCTCAGTTGTGGTACAAGTAGAACACAAGATTTAGTTTTCTAATGAGTTAGCTTCCTCTGTAAAGTTTGACCTGAAACCAGGACAGAGTGAAAATCTATGAATAGATGCTCACTGTTTTGCCTGATCTTTAAGCCATTAAATAAAAGGCCTTATATTGATGCAGTGATAGCCAGGGGCACTCGTTGTGTGTTCTTGTGCGTTGTGTTGGTTAATGAATCATGCCCTGGTAGGCGCAGTGTTCGTGTACAGTTGTTGCCACAGCGTTCAGATAAAGCAAAGGCACAGGCTGTGTGGCACCAGCAGTGTCTGACAAGACTTAACACCTCTTCTAGATGCTGCTGCAAGGCTGCCTACTGAAACTATAGCAACAGGTAGGATTAGCACCTTGCTGTGCTTACACTTACCTTTTCTGTATACTGCTGGTCCGGTACTAGTTATTAGGGTAACAGTCAGTACTTTTCTGAAAATGTGCAGCCAGGTTCAATTATAAAGTTGTCTGTATTTAACAGCCTGCTTTTTGCTTTCTGAAGTGTGCCAGGGTTAAAGCAACTGTAATCCGAAAAGGGCTGAGTTATCATCCATAATTAACCTTGCTGTTTGTACTTGCATTGCTTGCACCTGTTTTTCTGACTTATTTAGGCTGCTTATTGAGTGACAACTTCTCAACTCTATTATTTGCCCTTTCTTAAATCTTGAACATGTTTGAAACTAG